AGATCCATTAGATAATTTCATATACAAAGGGCTTCAATAACCACCTTCTAATACACAGGCTCCAGGATATTGTGACTTTTGAGATAAGCAAAAATGCATGTTTCACATAATATGTCCTCTGTACTCACAGTTTCAGACTCTTCACAATCACTTCTTTTATACTAAGAATGTACTTGGATTAAAACCTGTTTTTTAAAGAAAGAAAGGAAGGAAAAAAGGCGGGGTGGTGGTGGTGGTGGTGGTGGTGGTGGTGCACACCTTTAATCCCACCACTCACTAGGGAGACAGAGGCAGGTGATCTCTGTGAATTTGACGCCAGCCTGGGCTACAGAGTGAGTTCCAGTACAGCCGGGGCTATACAGGAAATCCCTGTTTCAGGAAACAAACAAAAAGGAAAAAGAAAAGAGGAAAAAATCTCACCAGCTTTTGGTCATGATTCTTTTAGAACTGTAAACTCAGTGTTACCTTAAAATGCCTCAGTTCAACATGGTGTCCAAAATGTCTCACTTCAGAGTTCATTACTCAGAATACAGAATTGGATTTCAGCTTTCTTGACCATACTTCCTTACTCACAAGACAAAAGAAAAGAAAGAAATTGCCCTGACATAGTAACAGGACCAGTTCTAAGATTGCATATTAATACTCTGGGGTGGAAAATGGACTCTGGTTGAAGGTGGTAGGGTATTTTGTAGCCTGTTTATGCTTGGATGTTTTTGTTGTGATGATTTCACAGAAATAGAATTACTGTATAGACTCGGACACAAGGAACTGAGCCAATGTTCGGGGAGTACTGAAAGGCAATATTCTGTGACCTCAGATAAATATTAAGAGACAGCTAGTTGCCTACCTGTGTGTCTATTAAGATTCAGCAGTTATTCCAGGGACACAGAACAGCAGCAGCAAGGACACAAGACATGCATTACCACCCAGAAAGCCTTTGAGCTTTGTTCCTGTTTGCATTTGAATTAAAGTGATCTACTGATTTGGTAAAGGTAATAAAATGAGATGTCAGATACTAAGATGCTTCCTGAAAGTTACCTATGGGAAGTTGCTCTCACAGTAAATATTGTTGGATTCAGCGGAAACTGAGTAACTCCAGAGTAAATTGACAGTTTTCAAAAATAAATGATTTACTGAATTTCTCTGTGTTTTTCATATTAAGTATTGACTTTGCAATGTATGTACTTGTCAATATTTTCCACTAATACAGGGAAAAAAGAAGAATGGAAAATACTAATTTTAGAGGCATAGATTAATGTTTTACCTCTTGCATATGGCCATGTTGTCTGAGGTCTTAAAGGCATTCATCCAGAAGGGCTTACTCTACCTAAGATATTTTAAATGGACGCTTTAGAATCAGTACATACTCAGCAGCCTTTCTGTGCATTAAGTTTCGTTTGTCTCGCTGAACAAAAGGTCATTATGCCAAATGCTGCAGGTGAACACATTGAACACACTCCCTGCTCTGGAGAAAGGTGGTCAGCTGCACGTCTGGGACACACCCAGCTGCTTAAGGTGTTCGAGTAAAAAACATGGGCTCCTCAGGTCAACTGTGCTCTGATCCTCAGGCATCCTAGTCTGTATTTTTCTCTCACTTCCTTGCCTCGGGTCAGACTCCTAATCCTATCCATTAATCATATATAACATATACACCAGAAACTAATCTATACATCACTATTGAGGAAAAGTATCCTTTGGAGGTGGAAGATTGTCCTTGTGAACTTGGAGAACATGTTCTCTTACCACACCCTTAGTAAAACCTTATCCCTTCCTGTGATTATTACACATTCTTTAGTGTCACTTTAATCTTCCCAGATATATTTTTCCATAATATATTCCCTGAAAGTAAAATTTTCTCTTTAAGTTCACATCTCAGATGTCAGTAAAGAATACAAAGATCTAGTGTAAATATGCACAAGATGTTTCTTTACCCACTAGCTGTCCGCTGGAGCAGTGTGTGCGGAGGTCAGAGTCTGCCCCCAGTCCTTGGTCTGTTAACTCTCTAGAATATAGCACCCCTTCCTCACTGGGGTAATCTTTAATGTGGTTTACTTACAGCTCATACCTATCTTCTTTTATGTTTTACACCTAAATAGAACAATTTTGATAAAACGTCATCAGTCTTGTGGTCGAGCACTAGAACAAAACTGTTATTTGGGGTGACTAACAAGAGTCTGATTTTAAAAAATGAATAGGTTTGGAAACTAGAGATGTTTATCATACATTTTAAGAGAATGTGGGGCAGAAGTAACACTGTATCAAAGTCATTGCGTCTTCAAACTTGCCTAAATTTTACTTTTTGGTATTTACAGTTGCCTACCAGAAAGACTACTTTAGTCCTTGAAGGAAAAGAGAAAATTTATACCAATGGGAAGTTTGTATAAAAATCTCAAGAGGATAACACTTTAATAAACCATGTATTACAAAAGAGTGGAGAAAGCATGATGCCCTAATCCTGTACTCTTTTACCAGGAGAATGCTGGTAGAACATCTTATGAATAAGTCAGTATTGTCTCCTACATCCAAAGAGTTGAATCACTGTCTCATTTTAGGAGGCAGATAAAAATGTAGAACACTTGATTGTAGCAGCGGCAACACGTATTTTGGCCTGTCTTCCTTAGTAAGGGAGGATGAGACCTGAGAAGATAGTGTGGACGAATGGAGTGTTGAATGGCAGGCTAGGAACCTCTGCTCTGTTCTGTTCCCAGCCTGCTACTGGGTTGCTATGTAAACCTAGATAAGCCACTTAGGCTCTGCATCTCATATTTTCCATCTTTAAAAATATAGGTAGAGACATTCTGTACTTGGCCATTTCACAAAGATATCATGAGAAATGGCTTGCTTTGAAGAAGTTCAGCCATCTTTTGGTTGAAAGGATGCTGTGTAAATGCATCAGTGTCTGTTTCCTTTGGCAGTGCTATTCCTGCTGCCTAGTATTTCATAAACCATCTCTTCCCAGTGTACCAGAGAGCTGGTGCCATTAACTAAGCTCTGTACTGAAGTAATGGCAAGAATGGGCGTCTAAAACCCAAATGGGAATCTTGGGTCTACCACTTGATCCTAAAGCGACCATAAACAAATCAAAATCCTCAATTTTCTCATGTGTTAGTACACGGGGATAATGGTAACAGCCACCCCAGCTGAGGGCAGTGACACTTCAAGGTACTTTCGAGCAATACATATACAATATAGAAACAAAACAAAAATATGCTTCATGCCCAGTGCAGTTCTTCCTCCTTAGAATGGCAGAGGAGGGGAAAGCATCCCCCTCACCCCGATTATAGATTCCTCCAAAATAGAAGCTGGTCCTTGCTCCTCAATGGTTATATTTCACCTTGCCACTCTCACAAGCTTCTGGGCCCAGGGCATAAGCTCTTAACCACTCTTGACCATCGCATCATCTATTGTAAGTGATAGTGTCACAAAAGAAAATCAGATGTTATTCTCAAAAACGTATCTGATCTGCAGAGAAGGACGAGTGAAGAGCAAAGGGATCCAGACCAGGCTGGTGAAACCCACAGAAACAACTAACCTGAACATCGGGGACCTCGTGCTCCCCAAACTAATAGCTGGGATACCAGCATGGGACTGATCCAGACCCCAGGAACATGGATTTCATTGAGGAAATCTATAGGACCTCCTATAGTAGTTTAGTACTTATCCCTAGCATAGGTGTGGACTTTGGGAGTCCATTCCACATAGAGGAATACTCCCTGAGCCGACACATGGGGATGGGCCTAGGCCCTATCCCAAAGGATTCAATAGACTCTGATGACACCCTATGGAAGGCCTCACCATCCAGGGAGAGCAGAAAGGATATGTGATAGGTAGGGTTTTAGTTTAGGGAGGGTGGGAGGGAGAAGGGAACTGGGATTGTCATGTAAAACAATCTTGTTTCTAATTCAAATAAAAAATCTGGAAAAAAACGTATCTGATCTATTAATTTTACAAAATGCTAACATGAGGAGAGGTACTGCAGAATGGGGAATAATTGATAATTGGCAGTTATGTCACTATAGAAAATAAAACTCAGGGGCTAGAGAGATGGCTTTCTAGTTGGTAGCATGCTTGCCATACAAATATAAGAACCAGAATGTAATTGTCAGCACCCATCAAAGAAAAGAAAAAGGCCATGGAAAGTGTACGTCTATCATTCCAACTCTGGGAAGACAGAGATCTGGGCAGGCTGATCCTTGGAGCTCACTGGCCATCAAACTTAGTGACATCAGTGAGCTCCAAGCTCAATGAAAGGCCCTGTCTCAAAAAAAAATGAAGTGACAGGTGATTGAGGAGGCTAAGATAACCAACATTCATCTCTGTTATCCACACACGTGCATAAATGTGTACACCTACACACACATACACACACACACACACACACACACACACACACATATAAAACAAAAACAAAACTTTGCAACTGTGGTCGATAGTGATGGAATAACGCAGTATTGACCTCTGGCTTCTACATATAGACATGCATCCATACACACACACACATACTATAGACTACACACATACATATAACATACACTTATTATACATAAGCTCAGAAAACAAGCAGGAAGAAAGAGAACAGGTACATTTAAGTGGAGTTTATTCTAACCTCACTTCTCTGAATTTTATAGTAATGACCTGCCAGAAAATGTTGTTTGAGGGTAGAAAAAGGGCACAGACTGCTGAAATACAGGGCAGTGGAGTGACAGGGAAGCCACTCCAAAAAGGTAGCACTGTGGTTGAGCACTTGCCTCATATCTGTGGAGCCCTCTTTTTCACACCCACCAGAAAAAAAAAAAAGTGAAATATGGGCATTATCAAAAACTGATTAGAAATACATGTTTCATGAGTTAATGGCAGTACAGAATTGTGCAAGTTTAGGGTTTGATAGAACTATTGATGGGACTTTTGTACTCACTGTAATGTGGGATTTCAGAGACTGAATACTATGTAAGAGGTAATAACATGTTTCATTGATTCTTTTTCTCTTTGTATATTATTAGAACCAACCTACATCACAATTGATCCGCCTGCGTGTGGGGAGCTATCAAACTGCACTCTGAAAGAGAAGGACTGCATTTATGGCTTCAAACTGGATCACAATGGCTGTCGAACCTGTCAGTGCAAAAACAGTAAGTAGACAGATACCCCCCTCCCCCGAGGCCTAATAGGATCTTGTCAAAGCATATTATATGATTGAATATCTTTTTCACTCTTGTTCAGACATTGCCTTGACAGCCTGTGAAAGGGCGGTGTGGGGGGGGGGGGGGGGGGGAAGTGGAATGATGAACTGAAACAGTTTTGCAGTCATTTAGGGAATGCCCTGTGCTTTCTTATAGTTCCCATCTAGGTTTCACTGTGTTTGATACATCCTTGCTGAGGTGTTTACAGCCCTGAGTGGCTAACCCTTCCCATGGTTATCCAGTGACAAGAACATTGTATTTTTCCCTTTCTGTACATGGCAGTCATAATCCTTTAAGAAAATACTTCACTCAGGACCTGGGGAAATGGCTCAGTGAGAGAGCACTTGCTGCAAAAACATGGGGGCCTGAATTTGGATTCCCAGCAGACATGTAAAAGTTGGGTGTGGTGGCATGCACCTGTGACCCCAGCTCTGGGGAGTTGGGGTTGTAACAGACAGACAGGAGGAGCTTGCTGGACAGCCAGGCTAGACAGAGGTGAGTTGTAGGTTCCCTGAGAGACCCTCTCTCCAAAATAAGGTGACAAGTGATAGAGTAAGATACCTAACATTAACCTTTGGCCCACACATACACTTATATATAGAGACAGACAGACAGACAGACAGACAGACAGACACACACACACACACACACACACACACACACACACACACACACCAGAGAGCTTCATTTTATTGACTCTCAGCTCTACCTCCATGCAGATTCCAACCATGTCTCTGAGCCATGACGTCTGAAGCTAGTCGGAATATATAACATTTCTCCCACAGGCAAAAATACACCCCATACATTTTAAAACTATTTTGAATTCTCTTAACTCCTCAACCAGAATAAGCATCCCAAAGTTCCCTTCTTCATCACCTGTGTGGCATGCTTTCTAGAGCTTGCTCTTTTTCCACCTTCTAACACACAGGGTGCTATTGTCCTTACCTAAAATGTGGCTGAGAAACAAACAAAACAAGACTCTAGAATTTGGTCTGAATTCAGTGCTGTTTCTTGCATGCATTTATTCGACTTAGCTCTGTGGCTTGAACACTGGGACTGGTACTGAGTTTATAAGCAGCCAGTGCCCCTAAGTACTTTTAGGTCAGCTGCTGTTAGGTGTTTATCCTTTCTATGTTAGCATGTTGCAGTTTGGAGATCCTATAACATAGGACCAAGTATAACAAGAAATTATGCAAATAGTTTAAAGCCATTTTCTAATTAGACGAAATTGTTTTTTTCTGTTTTTTTTGTTGTTGTTTTTTAATTTTGATAGTGTGATCTTATATCCTCTGCCTCCCGGCTTATGGTAAATAAGTACAACTTACATGTCCTCTTAATCACTGAATTAAAATAAATGAAACTGTACAGAAACGAGGACAGAAAACCAGTGGTACCAACAAACTTCCTGTGTCATGACACTGAACACCATCTCCACTCTTCCAGTGGCACAGGTCAGCTGCACCCCCACAGGTCTTGACTCACACTCTTTCAGTACTCTCGGAATTCAAGGCTCGTTTCCTACCACAAGGTTAGGAACTCTTCGGAACAAGCCAAAGCTGGCGGGAAACAGTTGTTCTTCCTAGACTGACTTTCAGGGAGTTTGGAACCCCCTGACTTTTTGAGTGACATTGGTTCTATTTTCTGAAATCTTTTCCTATCATCTCTGATCTCTCCCAAACACAGACAATGATTCTATAATAAGCAACTTCTCTGTGGGCTTCAGGGTATAATTATCCTGGGCTTAGAGGCTTGGCCCGATGGATGGCGAGAATGTACACTTCCTGGGGTATCAGCTCCCTCAGTCTAAGGTGCCTCTCAACTGAAGCAAGCCATCATTTGTGCCAGTATTTTTGATGGATGATAAAACACAGTCTAGGAGTTGAATCATGCCATGTCCTCCAGCTCCAAACTACCGCCATGCCATCTGCACAGGGGGTTACTGCTTCAAGGGTTTATAAACCCGGCATGCTTGGAGTTGTTGCAGTCTTAGGGTTTCAGGTAAGCCTCTCCACCAGGGGTGGTCCTGCCTTCCTGCACCTGCCTCTGTGTGCTGTAAGGACCGGCCCCTGTGCTGCCTCTTAGACGTTCCTTGGGGAAGCCAAGTCTGCTGGGGAATTGCCTTGGCAGCTTCGTTTGTTTACATAAATCGCCAACCTTGTCTTCTTAACACCAGGATAATTGGTGGTTGTGTCATGAAGTGTTTATTCTGCAGGCCTCCCGGTGCCTCTCGAGCTACACATTCTTTCTCAATATGGGATCATACCTATTTTTTTTTTTCCTGAACTCTATGAAGCCTAAAAATACAGAACTAATGTTCACCGGTTGCCTCACTCACTCTCTTCACCTGGGCTTTGTTTTTATGAAATTTTGGCCACCCAGCCACATTCATGTCAGGTTCCTGTCACTGATTTGAACCTGTAGAAGCAGTTTCCCTCATTTGTCACTGAGGCAAGTGAAAGGCAGTGGCCAGGCTTTCAAGCTGGAGACTGAGGAAGCTGCCCCGCTGTGCTCTGCCTTGACATTGAGTACCTCTTGTATTTGAAGTTTTCAAAGGCATAACTATGGACACTACTTGTCATAAACTTCCATTTCATTCACATTTAGGAAGAAATATATATAGGAGAATGTTGTATTTCGTGCCTATGATTTTTTTTTTTACATAAAAATACTACATTCAGGGTTTGAAAGTTTTACTTACTTAGAGAAATACCAAGTTTTTCTCTTCTCCCCATTTCCTTTCACCACCTGCCCTGTTCCAGGTAATGTGTTAAGGGTTCAGACCACTGTGGTCAATGCAACACATGACATAAGGGAAAAACTCCAGTAGCCAAACAAATGAAATACCACCATGCTAAGTCTGCTACTGGAGTTTACAAGAGTAACTCCTTCCCAAAGATTCAAGCTTTTGGTCATAGGGGCGTTGGGAAGTCACTGCCTTCTTTCAGAACATGCTTACTTAGTACGTCCAACTTTGCTCTGCAGTGATTGGCTAAATGAAGAAGCAAAGAACCTTCGGCATCAGGGATGCCTCTGGATTAGGGCTGTCTGATCCCCCTTGGAGGTCTGACTGCTCCAGTCAGACATCCTTCTCATCACCCTGAGCAGCCTGGCCTGGGGTTGGTCTTGGCAATCCACTTTCTGCTCCCCTAAATGTAAGGCTCAAGACTGAAGTTGCCAGTTTGTATCTCACACAAGTTGAAGCATGAATTTTGCCTCCATCTCTCCACTCCTGTTGGCCATCCTGACAATTTTGAGTCAGGGCAGACTACAATGGAGGGATTGGGATAAGGGGCTCTACTTGTGTCCTTCACTCTGTGTCCTCATCTGTAGAGGACAGACACTAGTCCCTAAGTAGTGGGGTATTTTGAGGACTAAGGGAGTAGATGCCAAGCGACTTTTATTAGCTGGCAAATGGTAGCTGTTTCCTCCACACAGCAGCTGTTTGTACCATTTCAGCCCAAGCTTTCGAACATGGAAAGTGCCCAGCCCCCTTGCTGCTCCCTTGTCCTGGCCTACCTGTGGCTCTTCTGGTCCTTTGAGGACACTTCCATCCACAACCTGCCTTTCACTCTCGAATTTGTGCCTCACACGTCTTCCTCTTCTTGGTTTACTGAAATAGTCCCTTGTAGTCATGGAGAGCAGTGTGTTTTGTTCTCCATTGCAGCAGCTCAGTATGTATTCATCTGGACTAAATTCTCCCTTACATTATTTTTTTCATCTTATTAAAACCTTTTATATACAGTAGTCCTAACCATGAATACCTAAGTTTCTTTTGGACATTATACCCAGCTCCTATTGACATCAGGATTTCTTAAAACAGGGTCTGAGGAGATGGCTCAGTTGGTAGAGTACCTGATACACAGCATGAGAACATGAGGTTAGATCTGAAGCACCGGCACAAAAAGCTGGGCATCCCAGTGCATCTGTGATCCCAACCCTGGGAGGCAGAGACAAGAGGATCCTGAGGGCCTGTGACCAGCCTGTCTGGCCAATCACTGAGCTCCAGGTTCAATAAAAGACCTTCCCTCAAAACAAAGCAGATGGAGACCAGGGAGAAAGACACTTGATAGTGAGCTCTGGGCTCCAAACATGAATGCATAAGTGTGTATATACATACACAGAGAGAAAAGGAATTCTTAAAACAAGGTCAACACCAACATCTCGCCTTGCTTCCTGATCTGTCGCTCACTCACTCACTGGCTCTTTTCCTTTGTCTAGCATTTGTTGAGTGCCTACTACTATAGCCAAGACTATAGAAATGACATTTTTATAGAAGAATTTTATTTAAAAGGCTATCAAAGATGATAAAAACGTCTTTAGACTTGACATTATAGGCAGTTGGTTTGGGGCTTAATATAAAAGCCTTAAAGAAACATATCCTTCGGAAGCGTGTGGCATGTGCCAGGCATGGTAGCAAACACCTGAAGCATTTGTTTGAGGACAGACTAAGTTATATGGCAAAATAGTGTCATAAAAAAAAAAAATCCAGGGCTGGGATTTTTCTTAGTAGATAAAGTACTTAGCCACCATGCAGCAGGCATTGGTTCAATCCCCAGGACCACAAAAGTAAAGAAGCTGGGAAACACAAGACAAAGGATGTTTGTTTGAACACAGTGTGGTTTTGATGTTCTAAGCTGTAGCAATAACATGCCTGCAAACCTGCTAAGCAGAGTAGGACTCATCAAGAATTTAAATCACCCAGACTCAGTTTCTGAAAGACACGTTTGCAATAAAAAGGATTATAAGAAATGTCAAAGAAAGTGCAACGGCAACAAAATTAGAACTAAAACCCTTTAAGAGCTAATAACGTAACACTTTGTTGACACAAGCATTAATAACGTTAACTTTTTAACCAAAATATTTGTTGCTGTCAGGAAAATGAATATACTTCAGCTTTACTGCCCACATTGCATATTAGTTGAATGGCATCAGTCGTTTAATGTCTTATTACCCACAGCTTTGAATCAAACAGGTTTCACTGGACTATTGGTAAACTCTTCTCCAGTTTTAGCATCTGTTGATTTCAGGAACCAGTAACACTTTATCTAGAAGCTGATTCAGACATATGAAACTGATAGCAAAGAAGAAGCCAGTGTTGTCCATCAGGTCAAGTGTCTCAGGAAGATTGTAGCATCCAGGAAGCAGGCACCACATTTTATAAACATTGTACTTCTCAACTACACCATATCACTGGGCAAAATTGAGACCAACTTTTGCTTTTTCAGTTTTCTTGATCCAACTATTTCAGGAACTTCATGATCTTTGTTTTTCAAGACATGTTTCTCTGTGGCTTTGGAACATGTCCTGGAACTAGCTCTTGTAGACCAGGCTGGCCTCAAACTAACAGAGATCCGCCCACCTCTGCCTCTGCCTCTCTGCCTCTCTGCCTCTCTCTCTGCCTCTCTGCCTCTCTGCCTCTCTGCCTCTCTGCGCCTCTGCCTCTCCCTCTGCCTCTCTGCGCCTCTGCCTCTGCCTCTGCCTCTGCCTCTGCCTCTGCCTCTGTGAGTACTGGGATTAAAGCCTTGTGCCGCCACCTCCTGGCTTCGTGATCCTTGTTAATTGATTGTAGGTTGGTAGAAATCTCCAATATTCACAAGTTTGAAGTGTGACCACTTTATGTTTGCATACCTGCAGGTTGTGTTATGTTCACTGACGGCAAGGGATGGATGATGCCCCTCATAGCTGGGTATCTCTTGGCCCTGGAACCTCTTTTCCTGAATGCAAGGCATTTACTGTGGACTTGCCATTGATTAGCCACAGTGTACAACCCCTATGCTTAGCCATTCTTTATCACTTTCTCTTGAATGGCAATTGCTTCTGTCAACTAGAAAGCTTTTTAGCTCATATAAAACCCATAATGCCTAAAAAACCCAGTAACATCAGGAGGCCACCCGTGTTCCATAACTGCCATAAGCCATATGCTAAAACTTTGTAAACTTATAAGCCCCACATCTTAATCTGTCTGTTTGCTTTGATAGTGTATTTCCTTTAAGGACAGTCCATCACTGATAAGCATGAACATCTAGGACTACCATCCAATCTTTTGTGTTCTCCATTTCAGAACTACAACATAGTTTTGTTTTGGGGTTTGTTTGGTTTGAGATGTTTAACAAGTGACAGTCTTTTAAGAACTATTTAGTATTACCAGAGAAAGCTTGGTCAAGTTCTCATTCCTCTATCAATAAAGCAATACCTGGTGAAGTGAAGGAAAAGCAGCACCAATAAATGCATTCATTCAGCAGTTAGCTGTCGCCCCACATCATGCTAAGTGTGATAGGCCCTAAACTGTGGACATAGAAGAGAAACTGCCCTAGAACTCTCTTTTCTTTTTTCATGGAGCAGAATTGAGCTGAGAGGCTACAGATGGATGAATGGCTCCAAGTGGAGTCATCAGTCTACTTTCTGGTGAATGTCCTGTATCTTTGTTAAGCACAGCAGCTTTATGTGGGATCCTTTCCTATTCATGAGTTCACATGGTGGTCACCTTCCCATTGCTGGGACAAAATTTCTGAAAGAATTGGCTTCTGTGGAAGAAAGGGTTGTTTTCACTTACAGATTCCAAACTTTGAGTCTATTCTGTGGGCTTGTGACCAGTCACATCCATTATGGTGGGAATACATGGGAACCTTATGGTTACCAGCAAGTAAGAGAGAAAATTGGGAAGGAAAAGGTTAAGAAATCTGCTGTAAGAACTTGCCTCTAGTGTTCTAGTCTCCCTCCCTCAGGCCTCATAGCTGGAAGGTTCCACCACCTGAAAGTGGTGAGACAAACTGACCAGTAAGCTTTGGACACGTGGGCCTCTGGAGTTTCTTTCAAACCATAGCACAGAGATAAATTAAAGACAAATATAATTTTTAAAATTCATTAAACTTTGCAATGCTTCCATGGCTGTTAAGGGTGAGTGGAGAAAATTCTAGATCAATGTCTGTGGAACGGGTTCCTTTTTAAAGACTAGAAGCACAAAAGAAAGTGTCCCTACACTCCCGTGTGATTTGAGGAAATTACTCCCCAAGAATGTGACAAGTTCTAGGCGTGTTTGTAATCCGTCTATTCCCAGACATAATCCACTTCACGCCTTGACTTTAAAACCATTATAATAGAAAACCCGGATCAGCTAGGGTTTCTATGTTGAGACAGAAAAGTGGCTCTGACACCTGGTCTGTCTTTCACCATTCCTGTCAGAACGGGATGAAAAGTAATGACCTGCCTCCAGGTCTTGTGATTCCAGATTTCAAATGAGCAGCTAGACTTTCTCTTTTAAGGATACAGATTAGCATTTCAGTTTCCTCACCATGTGATACAGACCTGTGAGGTTACATTAAACAAATGTAATGAAGTTTCAGATGATGGCGAAGTAGGAAATCATACCACTGATCACATCCTCCTTTATAAAAGACAGCACATTAAATAGGGAAGGATGCTAGGATTCCCAAAAGAGTCTGTCATAGAAGTGTTTGTGTAATACACAGACCTGTTTCACCTACCAGTTATAGTTAATGTTTAATTTTAGGCTATAGGACTTGGCTGCAGAACAGGATAAACGTGTTGTGACTTTGTTAGTGACCCGTGCATTAATGCAGTATTTACACATCTGAGATGCCCTGGTAAAATAACAAACAGTTCGTTTGTCAACCTCATAACAATAGTCTATGTTCTTCATCTTACCCATGTACAAAGCATCATTTAAGTAGTGACATTCTCACCATGTCTGCCTTCTTCCCTAAGATCCATGCTCTTTCAAACCCCACATCTAACTTAGATGGACCTCAAACTGCTCTTACATCCTAGGGCACGTTTACCACCTTGACATTGTTAATCTCTCTGGTTTCCAGTAGTTTCTTCTGAGAGTACTGCTCCTCCCGTTTTTCTCTAATGTCTAAAATAGTGCAGTAAGCGACTAACAGAAGACAATTAGGCACCACTCCGGATTCTGCTAACAAGGGATGCCTTAAATATTTCAAGTAGTCATTGGTAACATATTAATATGAATATCCCTTCTAACTTGCATTTTTTAGTCAGCTATGTACATTGCCATACCTGGATATTTGTCAACATAGTGGGACCAACATAGCTAAACAGAACACTGGTTACTTGCTTTCTATTATGTAGCAGACAGGCTTTTTTCAAAGAAAGGAAGAAGTCCCAAATGCTACACAGTCTGTCATGTTCTGTGATGATAACTCCTATGCACAAGTAAGTGTATTGTGAGCATTCAGACATATGTTTTACCTCTGATAAAATGTCTAAAATGAATCTGGACTGTAAACTTCTGATTGTCATGTTAGTGTAAATTGCCATTAGTGGTTTGAGGTGACTGCAGCCAGTCATTACTTATTAATGGTGACCGGCCCAGTCTCTGTCCCAGGCCTGGCAGATTCAATTAGGCTTCAGAATTCCATTTCAGAGCTGGACTCTGTTTCATATATCACCACCAAAACACAGAGCCATGTTGTGAGAGCCGTGGAATAGGACCGTCTATACCTGTTAACTGTGGCTTGTGCTCCAGCAGAACTGCAGTTTAACTCTGTGTAAGCTCGGCGAATTCAGGGCAGGCATCAAAGCCTCACGTCATGCTCTCTGGTCTGTTGTCTTTGGAAGCAACTTGCCATCCATGTGTCTCCACAGGGGAGGAACTATGCTTAGGCCTTAAACGGGGCTGCACCTTGGACTGTCCCTTTGGTTTCCTCACCGACGCCCACAACTGTGAGCTCTGTCAGTGCCGCCCACGGCCCAAGAAGTGCAAACCCACAATGTGCGGCAAGTTTTGTCCCCTTGGATTCCTGTACGTATTTGTTAGTATTTTTTTTCCCAATTCAGAAATTAAGTGACTTGCTGAAGTGGTCAGACCTGTGTTGGGGGCTGTTTTGCATGTGTGTGAATGAGCCAGTGGTGGTGTGATTCAAGAGGAACCCCACTGTTTATATTAGGGGATTCAGAAATGAGTGAAATCCTTGCCTCCAGATAGAGGCATCAAGTTCTGACGTTTTATATGAAGACAGTACAGATACACTGTGGGTAGGTTATTAAATATTCTTTATTGAGTCATACCCAAATCTGGATTATTCTGTGGGAAAAATAAACTCTACCAAAAAAAGGAGCTGCTTTGAACTGGCTGTGGTGGTGCACACCTTTAATCCCAGCCCTCGGGGCAGAGATAAGCAGATCTCAGTGAGTTCGGGGACAGCCTAGTCTGCAAATTGAGTTCCAGGCCAACCAGCATAGTGAGACCCTGCCTTTAAAACAAAGAATAAGAAAATCACCATTCACATTCTGGTTTTATCATTCTGACATTTCCTGTCTCCTATTTTAGTCTTGTGGCTGGTGTGTGTGTGTGTGTGTGTGTGTGTGTGGTGTGGGTGTATGTGTGTGGTGTGGGTGTATGTGTGTGGTGTGTGTGTGTGTGGTGTGGGTGTGATATGTGTGTGTGTGTGTGTGTGTGTGTGTGTACACATAAATATATTTATATTCTCATTCCTCAAATCATGAGGATCTCAGACTCATCCTCTTTTGTCCATTTTCTTCTGTTGTACCTTTAAAATTTACTGCCTTTTAAAATTTGAGCATAATTCTCATTTTAATTTTAATACTTCAGTTAGAAACATTATTTCAAAAATAATTTCTATTAAAAAGAAACAGACTTGTTGTCAAAGTCTGTAATCTCAGGATCTGGAGTCTATATCTAGTTCAAAGACAACCTGGAGTACATGAGACCCTGGCTCAGGAAAAAAAAATGTTCCCACCATTAATCATCACTATTCTTAATTGTAAGACACAAATGTGATACCAATACAGATATAATTATTTGGGCTAGACAGATGGCTCAGTGGTCAAGAGCACATAATGCTGGCCTAGTAAGCCTTAGCAGCATTCGGCCACCTGTAATTCCAGCTCCAGGGGTCTGATGCTCTTTCTGGAGTCTATGAGCAGTTGTGACACACCACACCACACCACACACACACACACACACACACACACACACACACACACACACGCGCACACGCACACGCGCACACAAGTAAAAAATAATTTCAAAATACAATCATTTTATAACTTAACTGTTGATACAAATATAAAGTACTCTCCAGTCCAGTAAAGCAATTAATAATTAATAGCTTCTAAAACCTCAGGTTTTTATTAATTTTCAGTATATACACATTTACTTACTTACTTACTGATAGGTGTGTGTGTGTGTGTGTGTGTGTGTGTGTGTGTGTGTGTGTGTAATGTTTGTGCTATGGTATGCATGTGCAGAACAGCTGACAGCTTTTGTAGGGGTTAGTTTTCTTCTTTCACCCCGTGGATTCTGGGAAGCAAACACAGTTCATTGGGCTTGGTGGCAAGGTCCTTGGCAGGTAGAGCCTTACAGCATCCTGTGTCATGTGTAAGTTTTGGTAGTTAATTTTTTTTACTAGCATATGGGATTTCTCAAAGGATATGGCCATTTGGGAAAGCCCACAACCTTAACAAAATGTCCCTAATATTAATCTCCCAGCGTTGACCAATGATGCACCCTCAACAGTCCTGTTCACCGGAGTTGCACATCCATTCTTTCTGTTAAGCCCTCACCTGTGTCTCTGGGAATGGCCACATCCCAGAAGCACGTAAATGCTCAGGCAGTTCTAAACCTTCCTGATAGCTAATTACACCTCACCTAGGAGTTGGGAGTGCAGGTGTCCCATCATTCTACGTAATGGTGATGTTACTGACTCTTGGTCTGAGGGCTTGGGCATCATTGGAGATTTTTTGATTTTCTGACCTCTGGCAACATTTTAATTACCCAGGAAGAATAAGCATGGCTGTGACATCTGTCGCTGTAAGAAATGCCCAGAGCTGCCATGCAGTAAGATCTGCCCCTTGGGCTTCCAGCAGGACAGTCATGGCTGTCTTATCTGCAAGTGCAGAGGTAAGTGTGAGCCCTTCCTTCTTGCAGCCTGGTAACAAAGAACAGAAGGAAAGATTTAAGTGATTGGTGCCTGTTCTGAAACAATGTTACCAGGGGACCCTCCCACAGGGCACCCTTTGTCTTTCATCACAATAGAATTAAAAGGGCTCAGAACAGAATTTAAATGGAGCTTGTGTGGTAAGCACAGCGACCAGGCTTAATCACTTCTTAGGGCTTCACATGTCTCCTAAACATTAGCCTGAAGCTATAGTGTGTATCAGTCTCCACAGAGGAAACCACTCTCTGGGACTGGGGTTGATACAGTGAAGAGCTTCATTTGGCATCCATGGGAGTGGGTGTATCTAAACTGTTCACGTAGGTGTTCCCTAGTAAGAGAGTTTTCTTGAGAATTTAGACTGGCCTTGAGAAGCACACATCAGGCCAGAGCCTGTATAGGCAAAATTCCAGGTGGCTCACTGCCCTAGCTTCCCTCTTCCAGTGACATTCCTGACAGCATTGAATGTTCATCCAGAGCTCTCTGTCAACCTTTACCTTAGTCTCAGCCTTGCCTCCCGTTCCAGTTTGTTGTTGTCAGATGATACTCCAGTCAAACAATAAAAGATCCCTATAGCATGCTTTTTTTTCAAAGCTGAACACTTTTATGGATCTTTGGAAGAGTTACAATAAGCAAAAGGGGGCAGTTAACGTAGTCAATCGCTTCAGCCATCTTACTAATCAAAAATCTAGTAGTTATAAGGGGCCCAGAATCCCTCCCCCATTACATGAAACTTCTAGAATGATGAGTCTGTTTCTCTCTCTCTCTCTCTCTCTCTCTCTCTCTCTCTATATATATATATATATATATATATATATATATATAACAAAGGCAGTGTTTGTTTATTGTATAAAATATGTGAAAGGCTTCAAAGTCAGCAATACTCTCCCAGTCGGAAGCATATTTACAAGCTCCTTCTATTGTTTTTCAAGATTGGTGGTTTATTGATTTGAATTCTCTTCCTGGACCTTTCCTGTATTGTTGACTGTCCTCTCCAGGCCTCGTTTTTTTTTTTTTTTTTTTTTTTTTTGGTGTCTGGGTTCTATTCCACGTAAAGGTACTACAAGCTGTTTCTTCTATGCCATAACTGCTTCTTTACCTGGCTACCTTCTGTCTGTCCAGAGGTCCCTCCTTCAGCCGGGCCACCTGTCCTGTCAGGCACATGTCTGTCCATGGATGGCCATCATCATAAAAATGAGGAAAGCTGGCATGATGGGTGCCGGGAATGCTACTGTCACAATGGAAGGGAAATGTGTGCCCTGATCACCTGCCCAGTGCCTGCCTGTGGCAACCCCACCATTCGTCCTGGACAGTGCTGCCCGTCATGCGCAGGTAAAAGCTGGCTGCCCTCTTATGCAAGACCACCTCCAGCATCGTGGGGCCCTGTACCCACCTGCGACTCTGGGGGAAGTGTGGGGTCTGTCCTCAGGACACTTGTCAGCTGTCTGTAACTTCTGTTGGTAATAGCCACAGAAAAAGCCAGATACTGTGAATAATTAGCCCAAGACCAAAGAAAATCCTAAAGCTGTGGAAATGGTTCTCTGTATTTTTGAATGGTTTACTTGATTATATTGCTCTTTGGACTAGCTTTTTTTCTTTTTCTAGAGATTTGTGGACTTACATATGTAAATCCAACCCTCCAGTTCACTGTTAGCATGTTAGGATGGAAGACCTCAGCCTTGGTTAATTGGACGGGATTAGTGAGAGTTTTACTTCACAAAAGCTTATAACTTACCAAGTAATACTGGAGGGAGGGGAGAATTACTGAAATCTGTAGCTGTTGCTCTCTTTTGAAGAAATGGGCATGTGGCATTCTTGCCAAATGGAGACATTTGGAATGGTGACAAATTCGAAACAGTCTAGTCCTAATAATAATAAAGTGAGCTCCCACTGGCCGAGGCTGCACCGGCCTTGCCTCCTGGTACATAAAGACTCAGCTATACGATTCTGTCTCCCTCAGCAACTACCAAATTGGTGGCTCCTGTACCTTTGCACATGACACATAAATGCAGAACACGTGTCTTGGTTTTCCCAAGGTGCAGTTAGACGTGTTCTCTATCAGCTCTTTCCTTTTTCACACATTCTGCAAATAAAGTATGAGCAACCGCCATGTCTACCAGATCAGAAGCAGCTCAATGAGATACAGTTGTGTCTGTGCCAACTCTTCAAGGAAGAGAAAAAACGCCCTTGTTCCCTCCAGACATGGTTTGTTACAGGTGTATCGACACCTGGGAGCCTACTCCTGGCTCTCTGTCAGCCACTGTCTGAGCTAGACAGGTGGAAATAAAAGAGACACAGATCCCAATAGAAACGCAGGATGTGGAACCGGAAATATCTTTCTCTAGGTCAGAGATACAGCAAATGCTAAAGCATGTGTTTACTGACATATTGTTGGGGCTGGAAGAGGACTCCCTTGGCAAAGTGCTTGCTGTGCAAGCAAGAGTGCCCAAGTTTGATCTTCAGTGCCTACATTAAAAAAAAAAAAAAAAAAAAGCCAAAGATGGTGGATCAGACTGTAATTCCAGCACTGGGGGGTGGGGGAGGGTGCTGGGGGCTGAAGGATCCCTCAGACTTACAGGCCAGCTAACTAACCAAGTAGATGAGCTGTGGGTTCAGTGGAAGACTAAACATAGATGATAGATAGATTGATAGATAGATAGATAGATAGATAGATAGATAGATAGATAGATAGATAGATAGATAGATAGATAGATATGGGTAGAGAGCTATTGAGACAGACAGTAGACATAGACCTCTGTCCTGCACATGCAGGACAGTACTCACTGGCTTTCTGAATGTACAGACACACAAGAAAACATTCCTTTGCATGCATGTGTAGAGTTCCATTCTTATTAGAATCTTTAGTGGTTTGCTGTATGTGGGTTCTTCTGACTAGAAACTCCCAAGGCCTTCCATCCCCACAGACACCTTCCTACCTTAAAGAACGGTTGCTTCCTTCTGCCATGCAGAGCTAGTCAGTGTTTCCCTGGGAGGAAGGAAGAGCTCCCTAACTACTCAGCAGTGTGATTCCCCAAATGGCACTATCCCTTTCGTTCTTCCCCCACCCCCTTCTCATCCTTTACCTTTTCCCTGCCATCCCACCAGCCCCTCTGTTTTTCTTTACAGCAAGGAGATTAGGGAAAGTAAGACCTCTGCAAACACATCTCCTGACGACTCCCCCTACTTAAGAGCATATCAGTTGTCTGTCCTCTGGGAGCCCTTTTTGAATGCCATCAAAGAATCTTTTCCAATGAGACTTTTTCTCTCTATATATAAGCCACGGAAAATACTCTTTGAACATCTTATCCCACCTCCACCTTCGTTTCCCTTCATTCCTTCTCCGCTGCTCTTGTACTGTTTCAATTCAGCTGTTTTCTGCAGTCTGTCTGCTTAGTCTTTCCTAATTCCAGGAGATAAACCTATCCTGAAAGCTGTTTCCTAACCTGGAAGTCAGCCCACACCACTGTATCCCATCAGTATTGTTGACTCACGCACTCCCCACTGCTTTGTAGGTAGCAGCCCTGGTACACTTGGGTTCTGACCATTTCTATACAGACAGGGTGGTTCCCTCAGCGCTCAGCATCCGATGAGCTCTATGCCTCAGCCAGCAGTGATGTCTCTAGACACGTTCTCAGCAGGATGCACCCCTGTCAACACCTCCTTGAAACCCTTATTGTACTTGGACTCCAGGAGTATGGTTAGTGCCGTCTTAACTTCCCAGGACCACATCAGGGCAACTCCCAGTACCTATGTAGACATGTTAAAGTCTCTCCACCATTATCACCTCACACCTCCACTGTGGGGAAAGAAATCACAGTCATCAGACTCCGGGCATGTCTCTAGTTGATGATGGCGTTGTCCACCAAATGTTTAGTCTCAGGTGAAGGGTTTTAGACTGTTGATACATTCCTGCTCAGGGTACTGGCAGCTGGCTGAGGTGGGGTGTGGCTCCTTGACAGTGGGCCATATTTACAAGCATAAAAGTGTTCAGAATCCCAAGATAATAAAGTAGACAGGACATCCATCATTTGGAAGTTTTGTTTAATCCAGAGGCATATCCATTATCCAAATAACCATTGACTTCAGCTCCAGCCCCTTGACTGTGCTTAATGCTCCAAACTGCTAGCTTCCAGAATATGTAAAATAGAATATCAGTGCCTCCCTCACAAGGTCATTGAAAGGAAGAAAAGAAATAAATAAGTGAGAAGTGCCCAGCCTGGAAATAATTGGGCCATAACAAGCATTCAGTAAATGAGCAATCTCTCTTCTAGACAACCCCTGCATCCTCAGGGGTGCTCCAGCAAGTGGACTTCCCTGCAATTTAATTCTTACTGAATTCTCTCAGGACTATCGACAGACTCAGCCACTTGAACCTCACTTCCTGGAATTGGCTCTTTGTCTAATGTTTCTAGGCATGGAATTTGTTCTTTCCTTTCCTATTCGTGGGATAGGAATAGGGTGAGTTCGCTCACTCTTCGGGCATTTCAACTGTTGCCTCCCTTAAAGCAAACACCACCCAGGTCTTTGGCAGTTGCAGAAGCTGCAGGTGAATAATTTTTTCATGTTTTGATTCTGTGTCATTCCTCAGATGACTTTGTGGTACAGAAGCCAGAGCTCAGCACTCCTTCCATTTGCCACGCACCCGGAGGAGAGTACTTTGTGGAAGGGGAGACATGGAACATTGACTCCTGTACGCAGTGCACCTGCCATGGCGGCCGGGTTTTGTGTGAGACCGAAGTGTGCCCACCACTGCTCTGCCAGAGCCCCTCACGCACCCAGGACTCCTGCTGCCCTCAGTGCACAGGTAACCAGCATGGTGGCATGGCACCAGCTTGATGGGAAAGATGCAGCTTTGTTTGATGGTTCTGTGGTCCTAGACATCAGTGTGAGCTCTATGCCTGCCTCCCCTGTCCATTCCCCTCCGTCACCCACACGATACAGTCAATAGGTATCCCCTGAGTTGACTCTGAAAGAGAAAGACTGGCTTTTCCACTGCAGACTGAAGATGTACATGGAGTACAGGCAGTCTCCTGTTCCAAGTTATTTCAGATGACTTTGCCTTTGTAAAAAGTCACCTCACAAGACACATTTGTTTCTAACAAATGTAAGAACTAGTTATTGGAGAGTACTATATATATTTTTAAAAAAAAAAGCCTTGAAATTATAGAGGTTGTAAAAATACTTTGAAAATATGCCCATGCCCTTCCAAAACTGTGATTAATAAGTTAAGACCAAGAATGTTGAGTGGGTATCGCTGCATATGTATGAGGACTCCTACTGTGCTCCTCCTGTGATTTCTCAGATCTTAGCAGGTAAATTTAAAGTCATAAAAGAAATGTGTTATAATGTAAACTTGTCTAGATATTAAATGTGTGCTACACTACTGGTTTTATAACTAAAATAGTAATTCTGTTAACACTAGAATAAATGGCTTTTAGAAAACAAATTTAATTCAACATATAAAATTACCAAAGCAGCTGGTTTTATTTGGTGTTGTTTAATATGCCCAGTTTTTCAGCTAAAACCATAAGCACTTCTATGTATACAGTCAGTGAGTTTTTGCTCAGTAGAACATAAACCTCCATGTTTTATTACTTCCTTTTTTACACTGACTGTCTAGTTAGCTGCCCAGGTTCTTGTTCTATCTTTCTGTCCAGCATACTCAGTAAATAAATTTCAGCCCAAGTATCATCTTGGGGCAGATTTATTAGTATAAATAGCAGCCTTGCTAATCTGACAGGCCTACCTAGTGTAGAACTTCATCTAGCATAAGTAGTCCATGTGTGTTATATATTTAGGGTATGTGTGACCTGTTCCAACCATGTTTTTGTCATGATCACCATGTTATATGGATGCAAGCCCTGCTGGCATCTATTAAGGAAGATCTATGACTGCTCACAGCCACCTGATAGGAAATATTTAGTGACAGTCAGCTTATATCCATTTAGTTACTTATTTTGCAGGCATTTCTGGAATGCCTGAATTTAGCCCTGGGGATCCTGAGATTAATGAAAACAAAATAACTTATCCTGGGGAGTGTTAGTCAGTGTGGTGTTCTACACTGAGGAAATAATGGTGCCCAGTGAGAAGAAGGGCTTGAGGCAGGCAGGCTGCTGGAGAAGATGTAAGGACAGAAAGAAGTGTCCTGTGCCTTCGGGGTTGGGGACTGAGTGACCAGGAGAGGTTAAGGGGAAGGCACTTCTCTGTGACAGCAAGCCTGGATTCATTGATGGACACCTACCACACTCAGAGACTGAGCCCAGAAAGAAGAGATGGACAACGCCCAGGCCAGGGTTAGGCCCATCTTCACACAATAAGAGTCTGCATTGTAGAGGCCCCTCAGGCTCCTGTCACGCCAGCCATGGCTTTCTGCTTTTCTCGCTGTGGGTCTGAGTGACTCTATCTTATACCTGGCTTTTCTTTCTCATTTATAAACTTAGGCCAAGGTGACTGATATTCTAATATTTTTCCATATATAGATAACCCAGTGTTAGCTCTCTCCTTGAACTTTGCATATGTATGTTTGTATGTATGTATATGTATATGTGTATGTATATGTTCCAAAGGTTACTTTCGGATATCTGAATGAGACCCAAGCTAGACTAAACAGTATTTAAATGAACTACTGACTACTAATGGGGCTTTTGGGGCTTTCTATTCATAACTATACTGAAGCAATAAGAATTTCTATTAAGTGAGAATCCTACTGCCTTGGCTTCTCAAATGCTGGAATTCTAAGTTCAAGACACCATGTCTGCTTCTCTCCCCTTGTCTTAAAACTTAAGGTGTCAGTATTTTTGACATCACAATAAATTTATGTAATATAGCGCTATATTACACATCTAGAAAAAGGCCGGCTGTAGGTTACACATGCTAAAATGGTCTAAGAATGATATCGACTTGTCCACAAGACCTGTGCCTGTATGGTGGTTACTTCTGTGGGGCCTCTTCCCACTTTGCCTTACCTGTGGCCTGCCTCCTGAGAGGAGTACCGGACCAAGAGCATGATGCCAGGATGGTACCTCCTGAAGTACAGACAGGAGAGAGACAGGCATGATGACTCACATGTATAATCCCAGCACTTCAGAGGCTGAGGAAGGCTTACTGCCACAACTCTGAGGCCAGCCTAGGCTATGCAGTTCAAGAAAAACAAATAAGGAGAGGATAAATTACTTTGTTTCTTTATTCTACCTTTCTGTTTATTTTTTTAATAAAATAATAGGGTAAGAGAGACAGGGAGACACAAAAGAAATAAAAGGATAGGTAGCCATCCAGGAAAAACACATGTAAAATGAAAAATGAAACCAAGAAGTAAATGTTTGGATACAACACTAGACAGTCTCTGGGGCCAGGGGATAGGAAAAGAAAGGAAGAATCCGGGTATCATTCCAAGTGGCGCTGGGGACAGGGTTTGGTTAGGAGCCTCCTGTCCCGTGGGAATATATGGCTTACTCTGCACCTGCTCTAACTCTCCCTGCCATCACAACAGTGCATCTTGCCGTCCTCTGAAGTCTTCTGGACATCAGTAAGAAGCCTCTGGATATTAAAGCCTTCATTTCCTGTCTAGTCATTGCTGTCCCATCTTTACCAACTAAGTTTTAGTCACAGAGTTGGACATTGCTTGTAAGAGCTAAGCAAATGCAGCCTGCAGGATCCTTAGGACTTTAGGGCCTAGAGCATCAGGCCAAACTGAGTTGTGCTTACTTCCAGCCAAAACCAAAGTTAGCAGTGGCCTCCCTCTTAAGGAAGACATTCTCCCTTGGCATAGATGACCTCAGAAAGGTCAGTGAGAGCAGAATCCCATTCTTCCATCTTTATTTTTCGGAATATGGATAGGATGTAAGGAACCATCCACAAAACAAAGTGAGCTGGAGCCCGTGGAACCAATGTCTGTTCTTTGTGACTTTGTTTTCAGAACTGATGTGGGGAGAGGTGGTTGAGGTTCAGGAGAGCTTTGGAACTGTTCCCATTGTGCTAGCTCCCCTCAGGCCATTAGAGAGGGCCCCAGGTGAAGCAGGTATAAGAAAGATGCTCCAGGGGCTGGAGAGATGGCTCAGAGGTTAAGAAAGCACTGGCTGCTCTTCCAGAGGTCCTGAGTTCAATTCCCAGCAACCACATGGTGGCTCATAGCCATCTATAATGAGATCTGGTACCCTCTTCTGGCCTGAATGTTGTATACATAATAAATAAATAAATCTTTTTTAAAAAAGAAAAGAAAGGAAGATGCTCCATTGAGAGCTCCTGCTGTGTGATAACCACATGTTTACTTCATACTTCTGTCTCGTGGCTGAGAAGAGCAGCATTCATGATGCCAATTCAGAAGCACACTGTGTGTCCACTGAGAAGAGGTGGCTGGATGCGGGTTTTGCTTGGCCCACTGCCATGGCTGTTTTTAGACTCCTTAGAATTGTGACATCTCTAAAGTAGGAACCCCACGAACTTACATTTCCTTTTTCATAGTTCAGATTTCTTCTTGGATTTGATTTTCCTTCATTTCTGTGGCTGCCAACCCCCAAGGAGATCTGTGTTTCCTGGCAACACTCTTTCCCATTTCAGGTTGCCATGTGATGTGGAGACCTTCCATAGTGTAACCGTAGACAGCTTGCAAATGGTTTCCCTGGGTGGCGTCCTAATGCTTGATCTGGGTTGCTAGCCCCTCCGCACTAACTCTGTCACTAACGGGGATGTCTAAACTCAGGAATGTTACAGATATGTGTCTAGATGGTGTGGTGCAGTGAAACATATTTGCATATTGAATGGTTAGGACTGCATTGGCTGCAAGTAAGAGAGAACCTGGCTATGAAATTTAAACAAGTCTTATTTGACTTTACATGAAGCTTAAGGCAGGTATGGATCACTATTGGTCCTGTGGCTCAGTGACTGAAGTAAGTTTGTGACTTCAGCCAACACACTCTTCAAGGTAGGAAGACGTGGAAGGATGGTGACAACAGTGTCTCCACCCACGGAAGAAAAGTGGAAGCAACCCTAGAAATTCCTTTATTAGCCCTGAGCTACAGCTAGACCAGGTGCCTCACTCCCACCCCCAGCCCTACCCTCACCCCCAGATTGCAAGGGAGCCTGGGAAAGCAGAAAAGGGGTTTCCTGATTGAGCTATTGTGATCCAAGTTCCTTGAGCCTCCAAAGAAATGAAGACTTTGCTTAAGGTTAAGACTAGAGTAGACCCTGTGTAAGCCCCTGACGAATCTCAATGGCAATTTTTTTTCCTATTGTTACTCTGTTTTAAAATACAAGACCTTCCTTGCTAGAATCAGGCTTCCTGATTTTATGACCGGTCACTTTAAGTCTGACTGACACTTACCTATGCTGTGTATGAAGTTGGTAGCCTGCAGCATTGTCTTTGCTGACCTATATGATCATTTTTCCAGATGAACCTCTTCAGCCTTCCACATCCCATAATGAGAGCGTGCCTAGTTACTGCAAAAATGATGAAGGGGATATATTCCTGGCAGCCGAGTCCTGGAAGCCTGACGTTTGCACCAGCTGCGTGTGCATGGATAGCGTAATTAGCTGTTACTCTGAATCCTGCCCTTCCGTGTCCTGTGAAAGACCTGTTTTGCGGAAAGGCCAGTGTTGTCCCTACTGCCTAGGTAAGAGCTCTCCAGGTGACCACTAAATTGATGTTGACAGCCATTTGCATAGATCAGTTAGTGTTTCCTAAATTGGTTTTTCTGGTTGGTATACCATACAGACCCAATGTAGAAACATTCATCAGGGGGAAGATGGGGAAGATGTATTCCCAGGATGGAATGCATGAAGAATAAATAGCTGCTGTCCCCAAAACATAATGACATTGTGTTCCATTGGGACCCTTCGCCAGTTCTGCCTTTTCAGTATCATAGCTCTCTGGGCCTGATGGTTTTTGATAGTCACTCTCCCAATACTATTCCCCCTATTAGAAGATGTTCATTACAGAAACTTGCCTCTCCCTTGAGACCAACTCAGTATGAAATATTCATTAAATCTCTATTTGTTTGTCTTTTCCTGTCTTACAGGGCAGTGAAATGACCCTGTTTAAGCCACATAGCTGTCCATCTTGGTGGCCTGAGCACAGAGTGAGGCCTGTTTAAGGATAGTTCTCTCTTTCTCCTTGTGGCCTGTAGTGCCACATCCTGTAAGCAGGGGACATAGGGATATTAGCCCCTAATGTCCAAGCCAAACTGGTCCTGTGGCTATGAGCCAGATGCTGCTCTGGGGACCAGAAGGAAAGCTGAGACAGCTGGCACCTCTAATCAAGGACAGCCCTGGCTCCCAAGGCTCTCACTGTCCTTATTGCTTTTGCATCCTCAAGTCAAAAGAGAGACAAGACACAGCTCAGTCCCACAGTGAATCCATAATCAGAGTAGCAAATGAAAACACATGCCAATTGTTAATTAATTACAGGTGTTGTGCACTTGTTGCCAGTGAGGGTTGTGTGCCTTCTAGACACAAGTGTTGCAAGTATTTGGAGTAATACCTGGGTCATAGAATTTTACAGAGCTAGATATGCTCAGTGATTGTACTGAGTGTATATGTATGTACATATATATATGCATATATATACATATGTATGGTATATATACACAAAGAATATAATACAACATGTCATGAAATCTGGGTTCTCTCCTTTGAGTGACCATCCTTGAGTGGGGACTATGGGTAATTGTGGTATAATAAGCAACTATAGATGAGGAATGTCTATGGAAACTGCGACAGTTGATGATTTCCCAGTGGAAAGAGATACCTGTTGAGCGTTGTTCTAAATGGAACTAAAAATAGATCATATACCCAAATTAGCTAAACTTACCTTTCAAAGAGACAACTAAAGTTGTGCAGGAAATGGCATGCTGCCTTTGGTGATCATCTAAAGCCAAGATGCAACTAAGATACTGCCCATCCTTCACATGGGAGTACAGACAGTAGCATCCCGTTTGCATATCAGAACTCCAATGAAAAAAAGGGATTAATGAACTACCTGGATTACATGGCTAATCCTTGGGAAATCAGGGCCAAAATGGTCTAAGAATTCCATGTTAACTTCAGAGGGGGAGAAAATCTCCTAACAAATTTCTTGTGTTGACATTCTCAGAAGGTTTTGTTAACTGAGCATTCCGTTTGTGTTTTGCTGTGTCATCCCGAAAGCCGATTACCTTAGTTGTAAGTTAGTTTTCATGTGATAATGGTAAATCACTTCTCTTTCCTCACAAAAGCAATTCCCCAAATTGTGGAAAGAAACCTTCTGCCGACTTTAGTGTTTCCTGTCTTCTGCTTTTTTCCCATCATACTCTCAATTCCTGAATCATTTAGAGTATGCATTCTTCCTTAATGTAGGCAAGAAAAACTTTTCGACCAAAATTTGTGATCTGGGTTTTCAGTTAGATTTTAAGCATTTTCATTAAATTCTGGTTCATATAAGTGTATATTGTGTTCCAGCACCATCCACAATAGTCCTCTACTCCTCCTACCCACTGATTGGTGTGTGCATTCACTTGTATTCTATAAGCCTGAGACTCATCTTAAGGGAATGTGAAATTCACGAATCCTATTGTTCCATACCTGTTGTAAACTTGAAATCCTAATTAAGCCTCCTTTGTCTGTGTCATTCTTATTTTGTACGTACTCCCATTAAACTATTCCTATTGTCGTGTGGCTCTGCTATTCAAGCATTGAAAGTTAAGTTCATGAAGTAACTTAGGAATTTCCTGTCTGATTTGCCTATTTTATTTTGGGGTGTTTTCTCTTACCGTGTGATTTGTCCCAACTTCCCATCAGCCTGACCCCTCTACAGCACCAGGCCTGGGCAAAGCCAGCCTTCCCAAAAGTGCTTCAGAACTGTGGCTGAGTTGCAGATCCTTAGTCATCTAGAGAATGGAGAGAAGTAAGAGGGGACCATGGTTTCATGTTGTAGAGCACTGGATCTCTTTCCCAGAGAGCAGGGAGAGCGAGTGCTTGTTTCACCCCAGATTGTTGATCCTCAGAATCACATATATCTCACTAGGGACTGCCCAGGTCACCAGGGGCACTGGCCTTGCTGTGGCCTCAGGCCTCCTGCTGGTTAGCCATTGCTCTCACAACCTCACAGCTCCTGTGAAACAGACCTTTTCTCATATGAAAACCAGGAAGTTTTCTCACATTTCTCTTTGAATTTTCATTTTCTCAGCATAAGAGTAATGAAAAGTGGGTGATCCTACTAAAAGTAGGCTTCTAATTACAAGTGTTTGTGTTCCTTTCAGCTAAATTATCTGCTCACTAATGTGCAGTGATAATGGCTCTCCTTTGATGTGTGGAGGCCTCCTATTACGTGTGCTAATTTAGTAGGATGTGTAATACAGACATAATTAATAGGATTGGTGATTAATTTTGAAAAGTGAGCAGCTTTGTCTAATTGCTTATAATACCTATCATTAGGGAATTCATCCTTCTACTCGAACGAAACTAAGTAGTAATTACCCAATCATTTTAATGGAGGATCTTAATTGATTTTCTAATTTTTTGTATTCTGCCTTCCTGCACAAATACACACAAGCCTTGGTTGTATTTTCATAGGCGTTCTTACTATAAAGATGGCTCAAAAGATGGCATGGATGTGAGTCAGGTGACGTGCTGGTAATTCTGCTGTGGGTCCTTGGAGCTCCCTGATCTCTCCATTATGAAGCTCTTCACCCCGAGAGCCTAGGATGCTATAAAGCACCCTCGCTTTGCTGCTGGCCACATGCTGTGTGCCTCTCTCATTCCTTTCCAGAGGAAAAAGTCCCTTGGGGCTGAATAAAATATTGGATCCATGCCTCCCCAGAGGGAAAGCAAAGGAATAAACTGGTGGCCAGCACTTATCTGCACTGGCTGTGTTTGTGAAGATGTATACCATGCCCACAGCTTTGGCAAGGGGGATATGAGTTTTCCCACGGAGCCTTTGTGTGCCTGTGATTCAGTTTTTCCAGGTCGGCTATTCCACGGAAAGAGCACTCCTTTGATTATAAAGACTATTCTTAGTCTAACAGATGAGGTCCAATGTTAGTTGCCTGTCAGCTTTGGAATGTGAGATACTCCCGATGTGCCACCACCAGGCTGGTCTAGAAGAACAGGGCCACTCTGCTAGCTGAGCCAGAAGTCTTGCTTAGAATATTACCTTGAAAATTATGGTTTGGGAAAGATGTGGTTATCTGTAGTTACATGTTACCTTACCTGACATTTTAGTTCACATTTAGGATATTTTAGACCTAGAAGTCCCTGAGCCAGTGAATCTTTGAACTTTTAAGGTTTTGTGAAACATTTGTTATTTTTGAATAAGAGCTCTTTGTTTATTGAATACATAAAACATAAACACATGTGGTTTAGAACTTGCATGTGAACACAGTTAAGATAATCTATTTATATATGTCTTAGAGTCGTTTCAGAATATCCTTAATAGGGATCTTTAAAGATGTGTGAAAATGCATTTTCTGATAGATAATGTATTAGAGAATAGTTTTCTTCCACCTGGGTCATTCTTTTTGTTATACCTCTGTCTGATTAGCATATAGGTGTACTTCATATTTGCTGTGTGTTAGTCTGTACTAATATTTAAAGTGGCACTATCACAAGGAGTCAAGCTGTCCTGGCTTGAGTCAGAACTGTTGTTTTTTCCCCCACTCATTCACTGTAGTGCTATACTTGTGTAATGATCGTGAATGAATAAGTAAAAGAACTGCTCTCTAACAGAGAAGAATCTGCCTTCTATACCACACCTGTCCACATGCTCAGCATCCCTTGTTCTTAGGCTCCTGGGTGTTTCAGACTGACTGATCAAAACATTATCCTCTTAGATCTCTATATGCATGTATATCAGTCAGAATTAAATATAATAACCCTTTGTGTTGGCATCATTCAAACACTGAATCCATGGAGTTAATGTTATATGGTTTTAAGTCATAATGTTAGGACACTAGAATCTAATATCCCAATGTATTTCTTTAAAATTAAAAACTTGTGCACACTGTAAGGAACTTGCCTTGGAGCCAGAGTTATGATCATATCTCTGAGACATACTGGTTCAGTATCTTGGTGATATGATACAGTCTACCTCAGTTGCCTCCTCTAGAGGAAACCTGTGCTTCTGAAAGGTGCTGTGTCCATGAAGTGAAGCCATGTTTGTACTTGGAGATGTAAACACAATGTGAGTGTACCCTGCCTCAGTGAGCTCCTGTTTCTTCAGTACAGACTGCAGCCAATCTAAGCACTGTTCATGTGGTGGTGTTTATCTCCCAATGTGGAGTGGAGCTTCTGGCTTCCCCAAGAGAGAGGCCAGCACAGCATATCTCTATGAGGACTTTCTGAAGGATGAGAGTACAGTAGTGATGCTTGGTGGTCATCTTTCTCCTGTCTTTCATCATCATTAAAGGCCCTTGGCTTCTTTAGTCATTTCTGTGACCCAGGTAGAAATAACATGCTCTCTGTCATACTGTGTTGGGGGCAGGGCCTCACCTACAAACCTCAGTGTCCTTTAGACATTGTCAGAGTGACAAGAGGGGACCCACAAATTCAGTTTCAGATGCTAGTGTCATGTGATGAGCCCATGGACTACTTGCATGGTATTCACTGTGACCCCAGGACAGCAATTGTTGGTTGTGGAGGG